CCTCTAATGTCGTGATAGCTGTACACTAATAAACTAAACTATGATCGGGACAAATACTGGCAAATAGTGCAAGCAAACAGTGGCATGTTTTTCACTCTTCCTGCAGATTCAAGGGCACAAACGACAGATTAAGGAACACAGGACTGTACACTAGTCAATAAAAAAAACATGATAACACATGGTGAAGTGTTCTGGCACAAGGAAACATTCATTGATCCCCTTAATAGCAGCATACTGTACGTGAATGTGTCCTTTATCTCGAGTGCGTGCATGTGTACTCGCCGCACTCGTGAATAGAGGAGGATAAAAGGAAAAGCTGAAAAGGTCTGAGCGCACCGCACAGTTCAACAAGACAGCTCGATCGCTTGATCTGCCCCCATCCCCACCCACTGCTCTCTACCTTTTTAAAACCATTTTTCCTCACACACTTTTTTTGTTGGTCCCCCTCATAGCTCACCTCACTGGCTTTTTGTCATTCTTTTCGGGCTCACCTCATTCGATCCCACACTTCTGAGCTTTTTTTTTTATTATACCCCTGCATTTCTGACCAACACTGTTTCCTTTCTGTCAATTTCTCGGGTAACTTTTAGCAGAAAAGGAGAAAACCACGGATTAACTCGCAACTGCGGTCTGGTGTGAATGCGGCATCGTTTTCATTATCCCACAGCAAATAACATTTTTTTTTGTGTTACAGCAACAGACATAAAGGCGTTTAGTGCCTATTCTGAACATTGTGGCTTGGTAAGGCAGTTCTGGCACCTGATTTGGATGCTTGATGATGGAGAACTACCAGAAAGCCAAGTGGGAAAGGTCAGCATAGGACCCACTGGAGAGATTAAGCTCAACTTTGACACGGGAGTAGCTGAGGATCCCCAGGGACAAACTGGAGAAAGTTGCGGGAACAGCACTGCCCGGAAGCCGTTCGCGCAATAGTCACAACAGTTTATTAACTGACTTGTCTTCATGGGTGCAAACTGTAGCGGTAAACAACAGAACCACACTAGGAGGCACGCAGCGGCACCACAAGTCACAAGACTTTCGGCAAAATGAGACTGAAGTTGGAATACCACACATTAGTTTCGCTTTTAGATATTCTACTGTGAGATTTTAAACTCAACTTTCATTTTCACTCACTGCTTCTTTAGGTTGAGGCACCAAACTACACGGGTAGATCTAAGTGCCCGATAAGGATTTTGAAACACCTTTCCCACGTGAAGGCATGAAATGTATTTCAAATCGAAACTCAAGAGTCATGCCACAATTTTTAAAAAATTTGCAAATTTCTTTTTTTGTAGCCTCAAGTAGTCTCAAAAATCACATGTAATTTATATGATAATTTTATTGTCTTTTTTAGGCATAAAAATACTGCCAATTAGAATTTACAATACATTTCTATGACAAATCCCACTTTATTTATGGCATTTTTGCACTACAAGTGGATCAGTGCAACTTGTCAAATTTTCTGTGCAACCCAATGTAAAGAGTAAGCATTTTGTTCCACATAATGGCTCAATAGAGACACACAGAAACACGCAGACACCTGTTTCGCACATTTGTCGATCTATTTGATCCTCCCACCCATCATTCACTCAGAGTATTAAACCATTTCTGTCACTTATTCATTCAGGCGTGAAATCTCCACCCAATCATTACCTGGAAATGATCTCTCTTTATGTCTTTCTCACAAACACACACAAACACACTGACACAAAATCTCCCGCTCATTTCCACACACGCGCGCGCACACACACAGCGCAAGTTCCAAAGACGACACTCTAGCGTGATCTAGCAGATGTGTGTATTCATGTGTGTTTGACGGTGTGAGTCCGTGCACACATATGGCAAATGAGCCAAGCTCAGTTAAATGACTTGTGATTAGGACATTGGCTTCTAATTGCCACTCATTACCATTTGAAAGTGAGTGGCGGCTCAAATCAAAGGCTATAGCAGCAGTGGTAAAGTGTGCGCATGTGTGCGTGCGTGCGGCGGGAGAGCGGCTGAAGCAGCACGCCTGATTCACAGCCGCACGATTTGTACAACAGTTTGGACTTTTGCTTCATGCTTTCCCTTACAAGTAAGGCAACGCTTTTTGGAGAAATGTGGGTAAAAAATATTCTGAAACTCAAACAAACTCAATCTAAAACTCTTTGAAATTCAAACTGTAACTAGCACAACAAAATCTAAGTTTACTTTTCAGCATCTCATGGTAACAGTCTTGGATTAGCACTGGGCAAATCGCTGCCACTCTACCTAAATCACTACAACACCCTCTGCTTACCTCCCTTCTAAAGATCTGCCCGTCTTCCCTTTATATTAACACCTCCCTTCTGCTCAAGCATTCATAATGCATCTATCTTCCAGCCATAAGCTGTTTTCACACCGGAACACCAGAGTCTGGAGAATCAGGTGAGCACACTGGCGGAAGTTGCTCATTTTCACAGGTAGCACACAGCAGGAGACAGACCCGTCCATAAGCATTTTTACCACCAGAAACATTCTGAGCGGTTCAGGCAAAGCTGCTGCCTGTGGAATGTGCAGGGGACGGGACAAAAGGCAACCAGTTGCTCGCGCTGCACGCTGTCAGCCATCATACAGCGGTGGATATTTGCGTGCTAAAAATGCACCGCAGTGGATTAACATCTATAAAGCTTCAGTCGTGAACAGTTCCTGGACGCCTCTAGTTGACCTCGCTAGCAGAGAAATTTATTTCAATTAAAAAGACCTTTCCATGGCATCCCACAGGGACTAACACCGGATCCCACTCACTTCATTATCCACATCCTTCCCATCATTATACATGAATCCATCCCTTGTTAAAGATTTGAAGCTGAGCTGTGTATTTCCCGAGTACCTCTTGGATGCGACCCCTTCCTCTCTTCTCCAACCTGCTGTATTTAATACCAGTCACACATAAAAAATACGTAATAGTTTCAGTATGGTTAATAAAGACTTAATGGCCATGTTGTTAAGTGCAAATACAACAGCCAATCACATGCCACCAACTCAATGCATTGATCTGCGTGTTCGAAAGGGTCTGACCAAATACCAGTACCTAAAAAATGGCTGGCCAGTGTCGATTATGTATTTTTTTACAGAAAAGAGACAAAAGTCAAACTAGTGTGCATTATTTTTTCTTCACACTTTTTCTGCTGTCTTTCTGAATAAATAAGCAATCCAAAGTATTTATTATTAAACAATAAAAGTAATTATAAAGTAACTTCACACTGATCTATGAATATTTTTCCACACCATGTACCACATGAAGGTGTTTCTAAATGTGTGTTTCACTGCACTGACACAAATGTTGGAAGCTTGTATATGGGATTTATGGCAACCACGAGATCACATTTCTTTCAGTACTTGGATAACAACAATCACAGGCAGTGCAGATAAAATCTGAAACATGTGTTTACAGGCATGAGTCAAAGCAAGCAAGGAATTTAATTAATGGGTCACTCGTACGTTTGTGCTCGCATCCTCCACGGAGGACAGAAGTTCTTGAACTAGCGACAGCACTAACAGAAATGTCCAACACCATAAAACAGGTAAGTAATAACACCGGAGCTGACGGGCTGCACTGACTCTATAGGTTCACTCTGCAAGTGTTTGCTAACACACAGTGGCTGCAAGTGAGTGAATTGCAAGAACCATGGAATAAAACAGAAAGTGTGTTTTTACTGAAAGCTGCAGATTCAAATTTGTTGGTGTTGCAATATTTTCTATTTCTTTCAGTAACACGTTTAAAAAGTAGCAAAACAAGCCTTTTAGATAGAAAGCAAGTTTAACCACGATCACAGCTGTCTGCTTAGATATCTGTGTGTTGAAAGCGCTCTATGGGGTGTCCAGTCATTCATTGCTTAAGGCTACAGGACAGGCTTCAAAGATGAAAATGACATAATCAACAAGTAATGCAAACCCACTTCTGTTTTTTCGTGTTTTTCCTATAAATTGCACAGATATCATCAGAAAAGAGGAAGACTTAAGCATGCAGCTGGTGGAAAGAAGCGCAGCTTTTTTCTTTCTTTTTCTTTTTTTAATCTTGAGCATTCACTTTGTTAATCAGTCTGCTGCCATTAGGAATGCTCGTTAAAAAACTATAGTGTGAGTGAAAGCATTGGCTACCACTTGGGACGCATAGCCTACCCTGCTCTGAGGTGTAAACAGAGTAAAAATAGCTTGCTATCACAGGCTTCCCTACAGTCCCGTTATATAATGGTCCATGCTAGGATGAATGACATCACGGGTAGTCCTGCAATCACAAAGCGTATGTCCTTTACAACCAGCTGACAACGTAAAACATTGTGTAGTATTACGTGCGCAACAATAAATGCTTCCTAAGAATCGAAACATGCAAAACACCTGCGGTTACGCTTTTTTTATTATTATCTAGAAATCATGTGGACTGTGGTTAGTAGTTCGCCTCCTTTCGTGTGGAGAAAACACTTCCGCGATAGTGAAACGTAGATTTTTTTTAAAAATGTAACGCTTTCCCCTGACAGTCCCTGTCAATAAGAAAAGAGTTCAGAAGAAGACCTATGTGGCCCGAAGCGACATTATTCGGACATGTCCGACAAAGAAATAGTCTGCAAAGAGGAAATGTTTTGAGCCGAGGTCGAGTGGCGCAGTTACTGGAAGTACAGCGCCTGCCCGACTCCCAACTCACCCGGCGGACGCGCTCCTCGCTCGGTCAGAATCCAGCCGAACCTCCGCCCCTCTTTCGTCCCATTTAAACAACACTTTGCGTTCACGTTTCCAAATGACAAGTATACCCACCCACAGCCCGCGTGGCCGCGTACTGTGTGGTCACTTAAAAATAGGTCAGAGTGCGAAGTAAACATTTTCTAAGGCTTTGAAGTAAACCAGAGCTTCAGCGCCACCCTTCCCAGTTCTTCCAGCCATTTTTTTTAAATTTAGCCAGCTCCAAAAGAGAAGAGTGACAACGTCAAAACGGTGACAGGTTGGCGAAACCGGCTCTGTGGAAATAGTTTTGTGCGACTTACTGCGGGGTGTAGCGGGCTGTTGAGTTTGTGTCTCTCCTTGTTGCCAGGGCTCCCCTGCTCTGCTCCGGCGCTGACGGTGGAAAGCGTCTCCCCTCCTAATGATGTCTGCAGCGCTCAGCTAATGGCTCTCTGCCCCCACCTTCAGAGAGAGAGAGAGAGAGAGAGCGGGGGAGGGAGGGCGAGAGAGAAGTTCAAAACTGGAGCAGTTTGTAAACTACTCATGCAAAAATATGAGAGCTCGGAGCACAGAAAGCAGTCACAGAGATACAAGAGAGGTTCACTGACATTGCCAGAGTGTGGGAATACACAGTATTCCTTTATTGGTAAGATTGTTTTACTCACAGTGGAGATTGGGCTGCGTTTTCAGGAGCAAATGCAAAAGCGCGCTGTGTGAAAGGAAGAATGGTTAATATTAGTATTATTATTTCTGTTTAACTCAGCCTCACTCAAAAAGTGGCTTCTCAGCAGTGTAAACACTTTATCTACAATACAACCCTGCACAGCTCAACATTGAGTTTATATTACTCAAGTAAAATTCTGAGGCATTTATACTTAAGGCTTGAAAAGGGGGGATCTATTAATCAATATTTCCGTGTCAAAATGATCCCACACTGCTTCAATAATGTTGAGGTCCGGGCTCTGAGGGCCAAATCCATGACTGATCATGCTCCATTGTTTGTTTTTTCTAACCAGGTATGTATTTATTGCATTGGCAGTGTGTTTGGGATCACTGTCATGATGAGAAATTAAGCTGTTGCCAACCAGCTGATTTTCAAATGGTATTGCTTGGTGGATTAAAATCTGATGGCACTTTCCCTTCTCTCAGAATGAGTCCTTGACAGCCTCCCGTCCACAGAGACCATTTCTGATGAGGCTTTAGTGAACAGTAAATGGATCAGCTGAAGGGCCCATTCCTTAAGGACAGACTGTTCATCTGCTGTAGATTGTTTTTAGGTCTGACACTTCTTCTTTCGTCCTCCACCTGTCCAGTTTCCTCAGATTTTCTTTCAAGGACGCAGTGCACACCATTTCAAGACATGCCAGATTTTCAGCAAATAACTCTTCGAGATGTAAAAATACTGTTTCCTGTCTGTCACACTTTGTTAGCTTAGGTGTTTTTCATAGATTCAACAAAAGAAATGGGAATAAATTATGTGTTTTTCCAGCAGCCTGCTAGTAACAAAGTGCCTAGAGACAGAGATTAACATTTAATTCATAGGTCAGTGTTAAGTGCGTACAAGGACTGAAAATGAGTAAAAGCAAAAAAGCAGCCAATATCTAATGTGGCTCATAACTTTTGTACAGCACCAGCCAAAAACATTTTTACAAAGTCGTAGTGGCCTTGACCTTTTCCCACCTAAAGCTAATCCTTTCATCCCTCAGTGCATGTGAACTTCTGTGCCAGACGTGCAGAGACACCGCCTTCACATAGAGAGGATGGACAGATGGACAGCCAGAAAACAGAATGCCTCGTAGCATAGCTGTCACCAGCAAGGAGGCATAACGAGTCATAAAGTAAATCCACCTCCACTGGCTAAAATATGAAAAGGCTGCAGGTCACTGCTTCAACCATTTAAATCTAATAATATCATATGTATTATGTAAAACATATGTAATAATAATGCGACACATTGTGTACTTTTCCTTTTCTTTTGGTTAGTATATTGGTACATCTGTGTATTATATAATCTAGTGTTACTAATTTGAATAGATGATATTTTTTATTAGCCCATGCAGGGGAACAAAAGTGTCACAGCAGCAAAACAAAGTCCATAAAGTGTGATAAATGAAGAAGACAACATAAAAGTTAATGAATATTATCTGAACACAAGCCACAAAGCATATTAGGAGTCTGAATGAATAAATATAACACGCAGCAGGCCTGTGGATCCTGGATGCAATTTAGCAAAAACTCAAGATTCACTTCAGATATTTGTTCTTATTGTTTATGCTACGAGGTCCGTCCTGTTTTCAGCGTGAATTGCTGCAAAAAACATGTCATCCTTGGATTTGACTGCACCGGGAAACTTCTGCTTTTTCTCAGAAGAGAAGAAGGTCATGGTATGTTTTGTTTTTTTTTAAAGCCAGAGAGTTCAGGATCTGTTTGGCTAAAGGCAGTCACTGACAGTCAGCTGACAGTGACATGATGGAACATCTCAGCTGCCGACAGCGACTGTTTTCACATACACACGCATAGCTACAAACATAAACACAACGATGGAGTGATGCTAGAAAACATGCTTATGAAAGATGTTTATGCACTCGTGTCCTGATTAACTCTAATTCACTTTAAGGGGGCTAAATTCAATTCGCTCTAGTTCAAAGTTAATTATTATCAGTTATAATCATGCGTAAAGCATGTGTCAAATAAGCACAAAAACTAAGCTGTGCCACTGAAATAAGCTATCAAGATAAAAGAAATAAACACCCGCTTAACCCCTTCTCCTCTTTTTTGTGTTTTTATGATCTTGACCTCCGTGACCTCTCCCAGATTTCCAATGTGACAACAAGTGCCTTTGCCTCTTCGTCAGAGGAGAATGCAACCTGACACTGCCCGAGAGCCGAAGGGTGCACGAGGCTGCGGAGTGACAGACGATCAGGGATCTGTCCCACTCCCTGCGAGTCACTCAATAAGTGGCCTATTGTCCAGCACTCTATTGTGCTCTTGTCACATGCATCCCAAACAAAGAGACAGAGAGGTAGGTTGCCCTGTGTGCTAGAGGGCTAGCATTACATTCATGAAGAGATGCGGTGTACAAGCAAGTGTACGCAGGGAATGAAGAGCTTCATTTAAATAAAAAAAACAACAAACATTTAATATCCAGACCACATGTGTGCCATTTGATCCTGGAAGCCCTTGTAGTCCAAGTAGTAAAGGAAATAGTGCACTAACATGCAGAAGGCCATCAAAACTCTGCAACTTTGAGACATAAAGGAGATTTAAATACGTTGAAATTTGACTGATTGTTGTCATTACTACATCAGCCAGATGTCTGCGTACTTTTGTGCTAACCTACCACCCATAATGCACCTCGTAGTTTCAGTTTCACGCCGTGTTGCTAAAATAGAACTTCCTATAATAACAAATGTGTAAGGCCAGAGTCAAGCGGAAGCAGTAAGTTGACCACACGTTTCAAAATAGATCACCAGTTTAATAAAAATACTTCCTCAGTGTCTCTCGAGCTCACGGGCCTGCACATACGCGAGCATGTACTTGCACCTTCTTGTTCTCTGCATGCACTCACAGGTTCACACCTACTCACTCTTACAACGCGCCGATCTAATCTTTACATATAGGATGCTAAACGTCTTCTGCAGACAGTTCAGCAGCCCTCTGTTTGATATTGACATTGGTTTGCACCGTTCAGAGCACAACGTGACTCCATAGCAGTGTGTGTGCCATAGCGGGCCATAGCGTGCTTGAAGAATAAAACAGAAACTACTCCCATGGGAGGAGCAGATTCTTCGAGGGTTGGGTTCCTCCCTAGAGATGTACCTGTGTTTTTTGTAGGAGGTATGAACAGTATACACTCGGGTACAATGAAGTGTGCCAGGTGGGGCGTGTATGGAAACAGACCTTGAACATGGAGAGTGACATCCTTAGTACCTGCATAGTAAATGAGTCATATATAAAAATAATTCCCCCCCCCACACACACACACACACACTTTTGTTTTTATTCTTTCCAGAAAGAAAAGCTTTAACGCATTTCAGCTCCAAATTAGAGACATCCACTTAACAGACAGAAGTATGCACAAATAAGGGATTTGACAGTTTATCTGGCAGATAAATAAATAACACACTGAGCTTAAAGCAGGGACCAAGGGAGATATATATAATTAATCATCACCAGTCTTTGAAGGCAGCTTTACAGCGATTTTCAAAGATTTTAATGGTCATGGACATTTCTTTTTTTGGACAGCGGAGAGTGACAGAGAAGCAGCGTGTCTGAAGTGCATGCTACTCTACACACTACAATCACCTATTATGGGCTGGAGCTCTCCAGGAATCGTGGCATTGCATTTTCTTCATTTGTATATGTGGACCTCTGCATCATCGTGTCAGCTCATCACATTCTCTGCAACAAACCAATACAGACTTTTTTTTTTAGCAGAACAGCAGCGCTCCTCCTGTATGCTCTGAAAGCAGCTGTCACTTCAGATTTCAAGGCTGCGCTCTGTCCAAGTCCCCTCTCTGTGCGCAGAGGGGAGGTGGTGTGTTTCATAGCTACTCACAGCTCCCCCCATTGTTCAAATGTGGAAGTGGTTATTGGTTTACAGCGTTTCCCTACATGCTATCATGTCACATACTGCAGCATACAGTTGCATAAATGCAGAATTATCCACAGCTTTGCTTGTAATTACACAAAATAAACACCTTTTAAACAAGTCCAGAAAAAACACATGACATAAATGTTTTGTCATTGAGTGAAAAAAGTATTTGATCCACTATAACACTGCCAGATTTCTGGCTCCCACAGACTGACTATCAGTCAATTATAGATACTCCAAATCTAAACTCATTACATGTATAAAGCAGGCTTGTCCACATTATGGATTCCTTCCACTCCAACCTCTCCACCACCATGGAGAGGACCAAAGAGCTGTTAAAGGACATTAAGGAGAAGATATTACATCTACACAAAGCTTGACCGGGCTACAAGACCATCAGCAAGAAGCTTGTTGACAATGTGACAACTTTTGGTGCGATTATTCAGAGCTCCATGCAAGATCTCACCTCATGGGTAAAGATGGTCATGTAGGCGTATTTAGGCATGTAGACATGAGCAAGACAAAATGTTCCAGGTCAAACTGAGCATCAGAATGAGGCTAGAGGGTGATTATTGGGTGAAAATCTCTTGTTGTTGTTGGCACAGGTCAGTGGAGAGTGGGCTGACTTCTTTGAGTTGAGAGGAAGGCAGCAGCAACTCACACAACCACTTGTTACAACCGAGGTATGCAGAAGAGCGTCTCTAAATTCACACACGTGGAAACTGAGGCGGTAGTGTGCACCAAAATTGGACACCAGAAGATTGGTCTGGTCTGCCTGGTCTGATGAGTCTCAGTTTCTGCCGTGACATTCAGACGGTGAGGTCAGAACAGCATGAAGTGAACAACATGAAAGCATGGATCCATCCAGCTCAGACTGCTGCTTGTGGTGTAACGATGCAGAGGATATTTTTATGGTGCACTTTTGGCCCTTTAGTGTCATTAACCAGATTTGATCTGGACTCAAATGCAGACATTAAAATTAAA